ATTTAAGTAGGCAGAAAGCTCAGAATCACTTGGCCCTCCGGGAGGAGGAAGGTGGTCATCCTGCAACCCTCTGCACCATCAGGTCTCCTTGATCTAGAAGAGAAATCATGTGGCGGAGAGGGTTTTTGGGCTAAAGGGCCAGGGTTGTTACTGTCTTTAGCCAGGCTCTGGCCATTGGAACATTGGCTCCCCTCAAAGGGGAGGTTTGAAAGCTTGGGGAATCTCTTGGCTAAATCCTACCCATCGCCACTTTGCTCCATCCCTAAGATATCCAATACCTGAGCAGTAGATGCTAACATACCTCCACTGACAAAAAGCTCCCTACCACTTCAGCCCAGATCTCAGCAAGTTTCTCTTTCCCTAGCTGAAATGTACTTCCTCGGGAACGTCAAAAGGAGTCCATTCTCCAGGAAAGACCAACAGGCCCAGATGGAGGGCCTCCCTGACTCTGTGAGTGCCTCCTGACAGAACCTGACACAGAACCCCATCTCCTGTGGCTCCTTCATAATGCCTCCCTCCCCGCTTTCCTCCTGATCCTTCAAAGCTCTCCAGACAGAGTACCAGGCCCTGAACTTTGGAAAGCCCTCTGCTTGTGTTCTCTGATCCCCCAGCTTTCAGAGAAGGCAGAGCGGGAAGGTTTCCAATTTTGCTCTGGAAGACCAGAGAGATGAAGTAAATTACCCAAAGGCCCACACACAAGAAGAGGTGACCAGCAGGACCTAGCTCTCCTGGTTCCCAGCCCAGGACCACACAGTCCCCTCCAGAAATGCCGGGACAGAAACGCTTCTGGGCATCTCTCCCCCTCCTGCTATGGGCAGGGGGAACAGAAAGAATGCAGAGACACCAGCCTTGCCTGGGGAGAAGAAACTTGATTGTTGCTGTGAGGTTGGCCTCCTAGGAACTGCAAGGCCTGTGGCTGATGGAGAAATAGAAAATGTCATCAGTCATCCAGAGGATGCCCTGTCTTGGAGCTGCTTTACAAGATGTGTCCTTGGCTTCTGGGGCTAGGTCGGACAAAAGGAAGTTGTGAGGTGTGTGTGTGTGTGTACATGCACACGTGCGTGCATGCACATATGCATGTGTGTATGTATGGATATGTACATGCAGAGAGGACATTTTAAAGAGAATCCCAGGGAAAGTCATGCTTATTCTCAAGGAAAGGAGCAATAGTGGTGGAATCTCGGGCAGCTGGCATTTTTGGCTGGGAGATGCCTGAGGTAAGTGAGTAGATATGATCATGGATACTGGGGTTCCAAAGGGCCAGGCCTGGACACTTAAGGTCCCTAAACACCCAGCAAATGTCTCCCAGGTCTAGTTGGACCCTGGCTATGTCGCAACAAGGTTGGGGGAGAAGGGTCTTCATGAGGGAGACCCCTCTAACCCTTCCACATAAAGCCCTACCAAGGCCCAAGGAGAGGAAGGCAAATGGGTTCCCAAGTTCCCAGCTGCAGGGCCCAGTGACAAAATCATCACCGTCGAGGCATGTGATCCTTTTGCACAACCGATCCTTACCCCTAGAAAGGGCTCCAGGAGTTTGGGAAGGAACCGTGGGCCTCCTGGGTTCTGCATATGGCTCTGCAGCACTGGCAGGTATAGGAAGCTTTTGTTACATTTATTCATCCCTTCATTCAACAATGAGCACCTACTATGTGCCAAACATGTTTCTAGCACTGGGAGTACAGCAAGAACCAGTTAGACCAAAATTCCAGCTTTCATGGAACTTGCAATCCAGTAGGGGAGGCGGTGGTTGGGAAAGACAATGTAAGTACAAGGCTCAGCCTGCTGGGTCATGATTAGTGATTAGAGAAAAGGCAGCAAAGGAGAAAAGGGAATGAGGTGGGATGGGGTGCCATTTAAATAGGGTGCTCAGCAAAGGCTTCACTGAGGAGGAGATATTTGCATAAAGCCCCTAAGGAGGTCAGGGAGTGGACTTTGCAGATATTGAGGGGAAGGACCTTCCAGGCAGAGGAAACAGCACGTGTAAAGTCCCTTGGATGTGAGCATGCCCAGTAAGGTTGAGGAATGGTCAAGAGGCAAGTGTGGCTAGGGTAAATGAACAAGCAGGTAAGGTGTGAGAGATGAGGTCAGAGAAGCACAGGAGACCACTTGGTTGGCGGCCTTGTAGGCCACTGTGAGGAATCCAGGTTTGGGGGGACTTGAAGCGTATACAGTCCAGGGGGACAGCCTCAAGATAGGTAAATCAATTCAGGGCCTTGGAAGGAGCTTGTGCAAGTGAGAGGCCCAGACACTTAAGCTTTACCAGTCTTGCTATAAATCAGCCACTAGTTGTGGTGAGAATTTTGGCTTTTGCCTGGAGAGGGAGCCATAGGAGAGTTTTGAGTAGAGGAGTGGCAGGACCTGACCACCCTCTGGGCTTCCTCTGGCCGCTGAGTGGAGGATGAACCTGTTGGTGGGGCAGGGAGGAGAAGAGGGGAAGAGAGAAAGCCAGAACAGCAATGAGCAACGTGGACTGGCAGTGACAGTCGAGGGTGGACAGTGATCAGAATCTGAAAGTGGAGCTGACAAAATGTGCTGATCTGGGATGTGGGGTGTGATAGAAGAAAGGCAGAAGAGTTGACCCAGTGTTTAAGGCCCAATCTAGTTATCCCCAGTGGAGGTGAGGAAGGAGAACATCCTCGTTCCTGGACCCCATATTATCCAGTTCTCCATTTTGTTTGTAATCTGCACCACTACACTGAGGCAGAGCTTTCATTAATCCCACTTCGCAGATAGAGAAATCTAGACTCAGAGGGGTGGAGTAACTTGCCCAAGGTCACACAGCCAGTAAATGGCAGAGCCTGGATTCCAACTTTAGTCTTATCGACTCCAAAATCCATATCTGTTCTGATGTACCAGGAAAAGCAAGGTTGGGGCCCTAGGAGCATGTTGGGTGGGAGAGGCAGTTGCTGGAGGAGAGGCACATTCCAGTAACCACAGGGGCCCCTGGGATGACTGCAAAGAAAGTTTCCAGCACCCTGCTCCATGTTCCTCCTCAACTCCTTCTTAAACCTGCTTCTAATCCACCAGCTGGGAGATCTCAGCTATAATCTTGGGGAAACGTTTTTGTCATCTCTCAAGTTTTCTTAATTGACTGACAAGGTAGTAACTGCCTCAATCTGTGATACACATTTTCTAAAGAAGTTTCAACATTAGAATGCAAAGCAGGCTTCTCTGGCTTAGAAAAACCTGAGATTCCTGGGATTTAATCATCAAACAGATTTAGCTGCTAAATCTGTGTGATGATTAACATCAAACATTTCATAAGAAAAAAAAAATGGCAACGAAAACAAATGGCAATGTGGCCACTGTGTCCAGGCCACCCAAATGTGCCTGATTTCTCCCCCAATTAAACTCATTGCATTTAAACTGATATAAACTGATGGTCCCAGGTGCATTCACTCAACAGGTTTAGTATCCAAATGAGTCTGCCATTATCACAGTAACCCATCTGACTTGGTTGATATTTTTATTATTATCAATATGGATTGCAAAACCTTAGCCCATGATTTGGGATGCCCAGTCCTCTGTGGTTTACTTAGAACAGCTCATGCCACTTTCTGTGGCTGTGCCCTGCTTGGAGCCTGGGAGAAATTGACACAACCGTGGAAACCCAGGACTTGTGAATCTTTTACCATCTCGGAGCTTTGCTCTTTTCAAACCATACCTCTTCAATACCACAACAAAAACCTGGGAAGCCAAGCTAAACAATTCTTGTCCCTTCCAGCCTTTCTCTAGCTCTCTGCTCTTGGTAAAACCTACCAGCAGGAGCAGATATTTGATCTGTCATAGAAGCTGTGATATTACACTGCCCAGATGTTTTACTCACTAGACTGAAGGCTCAAGTTACAGCTAATCAGGGCCTCTCTACCCTACAGACCCGATGCCCACCCCACCTCCCACCCCCAAGAAACAGGATCCTTGGCCCACGTGGCCAACTAAGGTGGAATAAATAGGACCTACATTGGGAGGGGATTCACTAAAATGACCCCTGTAGGGTCTCTACACCAGTGGCTTAGAAGGCATGTGCTCTCAAAGCCCTCTGGGGCCATTCAGACTGAAGGATGCCTCCTCACAGTCCTCAAACACCTGTATCTCCTTGCCCCAAGGCCTACTTCCTTTCCTTATCAAGAGTTTAAAGAGAGTCTGCAGGAACCTAGAAATATTTTCATAAGAAAAAAACAAATGGCAACGTGGTCAGCGTGTCCAGGCCACCCAAATGTGCCTGATTTCTCCCCCAGTTAAGCTGCGGTTTCACTTTACTACTATATGGTGAGATTAAGTTTACAAATTCAGCATAAAAATTTTTTCCTGCTAGCAGAATAAGGTAAAGAGCGAGAGACATACTATTGAGGAGAAGGGGATCAAGGCCTACATCATGCCCACAGAAATAAAGCCCTTGCTCTTTCTTGTATGAAAGATCCTTCTTGCCCAGAGAACTGGGGAAGACTGTGCACTTGGCTTTGTAAAAATGTGTCACTGCAGGAAATTAGATCCCAAGACCAAACAGGCTGTAGCAAACTGAACTGAACCCGAAGCCACCAGGGAGCTCTTTCCCGAGACCATGAGAGCTGCTGGCTGTGGTGTTCCCTGCGGTCAGGCCAGAAAGTGGCAGGGAGACTAGTTAGTGCCTGGTGGATGCCTTCCTCCCCTGGAGGGGTGACCGGAGACAGAAACTGGGTTCCCATTCTCAGGGAAGAACTAGAGAGACCCGAGGGGTCATCTAGTCCAACCCTCTCACTTGAAGACAGGGCAGCTGAGGCCTGGTGAGGGTAGGATCACAGTTCAGTCAGCAGGGGTACTGGGGGGTCACTCCAGTGCTGGCTTCTCCCCTCATCATGAAGCTACCTCCCACATGGCTGAAAGGGACCCCTCCATGGCCAATGAACACCCTCTATGATGACAGAGGAGGTCCCTCACTCCCCAAGACATGAGGAACAGGATGGGCAATATTTCAAACAGCTCCCAATCTTCAGAAATGCCAAAAAATCTCATCCTCCAAGAGCAGTGTTTCCAAACTTTTGTATTTTTAGCAGCAGAAGCCATCCTCCAAACAAAACCGTATGTAAAACCTCAGCTACAAAACAGATCAGTGGGATGCTGGCCCGTGTGGGGCCTGGGCTGGGCCCCGAGCTCTCCCTTCGGCACCAAGTACTTCTTCCACAGGGCCCCTATGTGAGCTCAGTTTGAAACCCCAGGCCTTGGTGGGGGTGGTGGGGGACCTTGTAGCACTGGAGCAAAAGCAGCCAGATATGGTGGGCTCATACTTAAGACCGCTGGAGGGTATGGCTAGTCTCTGGGACCTGGATGACTTCGTTCTCCACCAGGGCCTGGCCCCCATCCCCATTGAGCTGTCTCATGCGCAAGTTAATGGAGCCGTAGGTCTTCCTGGAGCTCCTGCCAGGGACGAAGGTCCTCCGGCGGTACAGCTCACCCTTGCACAGGGAGACCATAAGCAGCACTGACAAGAGCATGCCGCCCACCGTGAGCAGCCCCAGGCCTGCGATGATGCACTTGTCCAGGTGGGAGCCTAGGCGGGCGTAGTACATCTCTAGTCGTTCCATCTCCCGTGCTGTCACTGTGTCCGGATTGACTCGAGCCTCACGGGGGATGGCGTATGCTGTCACCACCAGGAGAATCCCACTCACCAGGAAAACCAGGGCGGAAACGAAGCCATAATCCACCGGGCGGCTCACGGGTTCCAGGCCTGGCCCCTCCTCTGAATGCAGGGACAGATCATCCCGCTGGGATCGGGGCAATGAGGGGACACCCCCAGGGGGACTGGGTGAGCTGCCCAGTCTCGTGTTCCTGGGGTTCTGGAAATAGGTCTCGTGCTCCTCTGAGGAGAAGCAGGCATTCTCCACACCCTCCCTGGATGGGGCCACTGGGCCCAGGGGAGCTGATCTCCTTGGGGCTTGGGGACCATTGCTCAGTGTCTTCAGTTCCAGACCAGGGGGAGATGCCATTGGGAATGAGGGCCCCAGCTCATCCCTTGGCCCCTTGGCAGCTGGAAGAGAAAACAGAAAGTCAGTTGAATGTAGCAACGTCTACCTGTTGTGGAGGACATCACACCAGTCCCCAAGCACATGAAGGTGAGTCAGGCACGATTCCCATTTGGGGGTGTCTGCCAGGCAGAGGGGGAGATGGGGAATAAGACAATAAGAGAACAGTGTGATCCAGCCCAGATCCCACTCCACCACCAGCTGGCGTATGGCTGTGGGCAATTCACTAATCCTGTCTGGCTTCGGTTTTCCCACCTACAGAATAATAATACTGCTACTCCCTAGTTCACAGGGCTGGAGTAGGATTGAGATAACCCATACAAAGGACTCAGAACACAAAGTGCCCAGTATTAGCAATGAGTTCTATGATGATGGAGGGAATGTAGACAGAGTGAACATCAGGCTCCAATCCCAGCTTCACCACTTGAACTTGGGCAAGTGATGTGACCTCTCCAGACTCGGTCTTCTTCTTATCTGTAAAATGGTAATGAACAAAATGCCTTCCTCACAAGGTTGTTATGAGGATTTCATAAAATAGTGAATGCAAGCCCCTGGCCAGTGTGATCCATGGACCTTGTTGTATGAGAGAAGGATGACAGAGGGGTGGGGGAGGTGGTAGAAAGGCCAAAGTTGATATGGGAACCAAGAGGAAGGGAAGTTTCTGGGAGGTGGTGGCATTTGAGTCAGATCTCAGAGGATGAATTGGGTATTTCCCAGCAATGGAAGGCGATGAGGACATCCTGGAAAGGGGAACAGACTGCTTCAGGGGCCAGCTGGGGCTGGCTCACAGAGGACTCTGAAAGCCAGGGAGCCAAGGAGACTGGGAGCCAGGCACAGCTGAGGAGCTGGAGGGGGAAGTGCTGACATCTGCCTAGGCTTCAGAAGAAAGGAGGAGTGATGCGATGGGAGGAGGCAAAGTGGAGGACAGCCGTCCAGCAAGGAAGCCAGCAGATCGGGGATGACATGGCCTGAGAGGGCCAAGAGGAAGGAGCAGACTGGAGGGCCAAAGCCAAATGCCTTTATGTAAACAGAAGGGTGGGGACCTGGACTGGGACCATAGGAGGGGAACCAGGAGGGGGAGGTGAGAAGAGGTACACACTCCGTGCTGCAAGAGGAGTTACCCCACCCAAGAACCTGAACACAGGCACCCCCAGACACAGACAGCACACATGCATTCCTGCCGAAAGATACCAGCCCGGGGACCATATTTGGCTGATAGAAGTTTTGCTGTGTTTTGTTCCTGGCCTGTTCATTTGTTTTTGGTGAATTCGTTGCAAATGTATAAAAAGCAAAAGATTTTAGATTTTACATTTTAAATGTTGCATTCCTGGCTTCTCCTGCAAAATGAAAGAATCTGGCCACCTTAGGCTCCCATTCCCTTGTAACACTCACCTGGAGTTGGCAATCGGGGCTCTCCCCAACAGGTCCCAGCTCAGCCCCCTTCCCTGCCTGGCATGTGTAATTCCTGATCCACAGCGGAACTGCATCATCCCTTGTATACACTGATGGCCTGAGGACACATACACTCAGAGCCCCAGGCACACAAGTCCTCGGTTTACAGAGACCCCCAGGTGCAAAATGGCTTACGTGCTCCAGTGTGTCTACACACACATACGTGCACACACACACACACACCCCCCCAAACGATTCTCTGCATTCTCATGCTGGAGTTTATTTTCCAGTGCACTGTGGTTCTCTGTGTGTGTGCATGCGTGTGTGTAATATGAGCAAATGAAGTCAGAATGAATGAATGAATGAAACTCAAAAGAGCCTCAGTGCAGGAAGACATGTTTTTCAATCTTTCTGACCTTCCTCTCAGTATGGACTAGCATCAGACACCTCCTCTTAGCACATATAGGGTCTTTCATCTGAGTACAAAGCTCTTTTCCATTTACAACCTGTTTCTATCACTACATCTCTTTCCAGAGTCCCAATTTAGCAAATGTTTACTAAGCACGTACTAGCTATTGGGCCTTGTACCCGACACAACGCAGGAGTATCTCACATCACCCTCACCAGCCCCATGATCCGGAATTACTGTCTCCATTTCATAAAGCATGGCCAAGATCCCATGGCATGTATGGGAGTGTGGGGGGACAGGAGTTGAATGCAGGTTCCCTAAGAATTATTATCATGTACAAACCAGCAAACTCATACTCCCGTGCCGGTGGCATCACTTCACCCTCCTTCCCTGGCACTCCATCCCTCACTCATAGACCCTTCATTTTATCCAGCTGTTTCACACCAACCGTGAGCACCTTGAGAGCAGGGATAAGTTTGAATTCCGTCTGGCTCCCCATCCTGGGCCCAGACTGCTCTCACTTTCCAGTGAATAGACAGAAAAAAGAGATGCGTTTGTTGGTTAGCTTTTTACTCTTAGCACCAAAAACATTTTCCTGGGTGCCCAGCCACAAACAGGGACCAGCAGGGGTGCCACGTGGGTGCTCAGAAATGGCCCCCACCCACACCCTCAGCACCTTCCACCCAACTCAGTTCCTGGAGTGGCCCAGGAAGCCCTTTCCCAGACTGACTTATTGATGCCTCCATACCTCGGAAGAAATCTGGAGCTCCCAAATTCTGGGAGCAGGGCTTTCCTTCATGCTGTAGGAACCCAAAACTTTTTCTTAGGATGCCACAGTGAGAAGGCAGAGAAAAAAAGAGGATTCCTCTCACCCAGAGTTAGGATGTCTCTCTGTTTCATGCACAGGTTCAGAGATATCAGTTACACAAAGGCTGTGCCCAATTACCCAAACATAAGCAGAAACACGCCTACTGACACAGCTACTCCTGCCCACTGTTCACACCCCACGACCCCACCAGTTACTCTCTGATTTCATCTGCAGTCAGACAAGTCCTGAAAGGAACGCTCCAGTTCCACACTCCCTCCCCCAAGCAGTCGTTCCCACGGCAGTACCCACAGACACCCAGAAGCCACGTAGTGTGACCCCCAGATCTTCGGGCCACTCTAGTACCCATAGCCCTAGAGGGGGCAGGACTGGTCACATATACGCACGCACCACACGCGCGCGCACGCACACACACACACACACACACACACACACACACACGTGCCCCTGGGAGTAAGATCCAAGCCAGATTCACAGAGACCCGCAGGGGCCCAACACTCCACCCACCGCGCGCACTGATACCGGGCGAGACGGACGCACAGTGGCTGTGGATGAAGCTTCACAAAACCCAATCGATAGACACATGCACGAGTTGTACACAAAGCCTTGGGGCGCGCAGATACGCACACGCAGGTCCACGCTGGTGTACCCAAAGTTGCGCGCAGAAAGCCCCAGCATGCCGCCTGCCCACCGCGCCCGCGCGCTCCGGCCCGCAGTCCACACCCCCTGCTCCTGCCCTTGACCACAGATGCGGGCCGGGCCAGGCCGGATCGGACCGGACAGAGGCCCAGGGAGGCCAGGTCCCCTGGCCGCATGTCCTTTGGCGGGCCGCGAGGTCAGGCTAGCTGTCCTTCGCCGCCACTCCCCGCCCCCGGCCCTCGGCCTCCAGCCGCCCCCCGCAGGCCCCTCTCCGCGTGCGTACCTGTGCCGGGCCTCCCTTCCTGCCTCCCCACGCGGGGGCGAAGGGCGAAGGGCGCCCGGCGGGCGAGGGTGCGTCCTCCCGGGTGCCTGCCCGCCTCCCTGCAGCCAGCGTCCGCCTGCGGGGGTCCCTCCTGCGGCGCAGCCCGGAGGGCGCGGGCCTGGCTGCCTCTGCCTCGCCCTCCCCTGCTCCCGCCCCCTTCCCGGCCCGGCCCGGAGCCGCTGCCGAGGCGCACGTACCTGCTTGCGCCGCGCGGAGCTGTACGGCGGCGGTGGCGGCCGCTGTGGGGGGGCGGGGGGGTTCCGGGGACAGAGGGACAGGGGAAGGGGCGGGGGCCGGGGATCGCCGAGCGCCGCGGAGCGAGCTCCGCCTGCGGCCGGCGAGGACGCCCGGAGAGTTAGCACGGAGAGGGACGGGGAGGCGGGTGATGGGCTGGGGTGAGGGTGCGGGGGCTCCAGTCCATCGTCCTCCCCTCCCCTCCAGGCAGATCCGGATCGCCAGCGCCTGGGCTTAGGGAACCGGGGCTTCGAGCCCGCGGTCCCCGGGCGTAGGGGCGGGGCGGGAGGGGGATGCAGGAGAAGACCCCTCCCCCGCCGCCTGCTTCTCTCCACACCGCTGGAAAGCCCCTATTGCGCCAAGCCCAGGTGCCTTTCCCCACCCTCACTCTCCCACTTCCCCTTCCCCCCACCCCCCACCCCACACACAGCTCCGAGGTAGGACCCTGGATCCTCTCTGAGGTCCTTAGGTCGGGACAGTCTCCTCAGGCGCGTGCGGCTCCATGGCTCAAGGGCGCCACCTGAAGGCTTCAAGAAAGAATCTGACGAGCCCTCCTCCCCCTTTTCTCTGCTTTTTTTTTTCTCTGTGGGACAGTGGAGTGCTTTGCCCAAGAGGGGTGTTCTCTTGGGGCATTGCCAATGGCCATACACACCCTCACCCTCCAAGGCCCAGCTGTGGGGCCTCCTCTCCTGGAACCCCTCCCTGGGCACACACACCCACTCAGCCCTCCATCTGGGCTCTTCTTTTGCCTGCACTGTTGCTCTTATCCCTGATGGCCGTGATTTTCTTTAAGGGTCAGCCTCCTCCATCGGACTGGCAGCTCTTGGAGAACAGGACCCATGTCTGATCACCCAGAATGAACTAGGTGGGTGTGGCTGAACAAGCTGTGAATAGGGGTGACTTTCACCTCTTTCCTTTATGGGGCTGGGGTTAAGATGAGTCAAGTGAAGTGCCTAAAGTACCAAATTCAAGGAGACATTTCCTCTTTGGGGAACCCATGCCAACCCCAGAGAAAGGTTTGATCTGATTCGTGCAGGTTTCGGGAAGACACGTGACCAGCTGAATCGTGTGGTTTCGGGCAGTTCCTCTGGCCTCTGAGCCTGTGTCCATTTCTGTCGATGAAGATCGTGAAGGTGCAGCCTTGGAGGGCTCTGGGAGAGCCGGCAGAAGTTGGCCATGTGGAAGGACAGGCGAATGAGAGTGCCATGTCCTGCTCCTTGGCCATCTCATGAGGGGAGCCTGACCTGTCCTCCTCCAAAGTTCTGTGCAGTCCTCTCCAACCAGGAGACTGGAAGTCGCCATGGATCATAGATGCCTGTGTCTTCAAGAACAGCATAACCTCGCCCTAGGCAGGACCACCAGGGCTGGGAAGGCCTCAGTTTCCTCCCAGCCTTGCAGAGGCCAGGCCTGTTGTTAGAGACTTCAAAGAGATGCTAGCCCTGGCACACCCCTGTTCAAATCCCAGCTCCAGCCCCACAGCTGGGTGCCCTCCCCTAAAGCACTCACTGTTCCTTCCCTCAGTCATACACTGTCCTACCTCAGCCTTGGCTGTTCCTTCTGCCTGGGACATTCTTCGTTCTAATACTTCCAGCACTCACCCCCTTCCCTCACTTCCTTCAGGTCTTCACGCAAATGTCACCTCAGAAGCACCGTTCCAGGCCATCATTTCAACAACAGCAGTGCCCCAGCCCTCTTTACACCCTCACTCTGAATTTTTCTCTGTAGCATTTACCAACTGACATTAGTTTCTGTTTGTTTATTGCCACCTCCACTAAGAAATAAGTGCCCAGATAAGAGGGTTTTTGCCATTTCCCTCCCTGCAGTATCATCAGATACTAGAAAAGGGGCTGACACCTAAGAAGCTCTGGATAAGAAGTCATTGGATAAAGAACAGAGAAAATGGGCAAATATTTTACACTATTCAGCTAGCTAGACTCCATCCCTACACTCAAAAGCTCATCTTCTAGTGGGAGAAAAGGATAAGTAAATGTAACATTGCAGTTATAGTAAGTGCTACCAAATAAAGATACACAGCGCAAGCCTCAAACAAGGGTGCCAATCTAGTCTTGGGGATAGGAATGGCTTCCTGTGAAGTGTGGACTGAGCTGAGGTCAGAAGGATGAGTAGTAGGCAGCCAGGTAAAGAGGGCAGGAAAGAGAAGTCCAGCAGAAGGACTAGCATAGGGGAAGGCCTTGGGAATAGAAGGAAGTGTGATGAGTTTGAGAATTGAAGGAGACCCGTGTGGTTGTCATGGAGGGCTCAAAAAGGAGCATGGTAGGAGGTGAGCCTGGGCTTAGCAGGCCAGGTCACTGCAGAGCCTTGCAGGCCAAGGAATTTGTTCTTTATCCTCAGAGCACTGGAGAACCTCACCAATGAATATAAGTGAAGGGTTAACAAACCCTTTTCCTCTTTTGCATGAGAATTTGAACTTTGGTTAACTGTCAAGCTCTGTTTCCTAGAAACAGATAAACATATGTCTGCTATGTTACTAAGCAACATTGCTTCTGATAAAAATGACCCCTGAGGAGGAGGCTAGAATGATCCATGTGGCAACAGATTAGAATTGGAGATACCAGAATGAACTCATGTTTAGCTTAATATAGATGCAGATGATTACATGTAGAAAGTTTCATACACACACACACATACCCACACGGGCTAGTATACACACATATATGTCCTTACTGTCAGGCGAGAGGGCCTAGAAGCAATGATACTCCATAGCAACAAGCACACGTAGCACTGAAATCTTGGTTTCTAATACCATTCTCCAGTAAAAGGATCCAAGGTTCCTTGGAGAAATTGTTGTTTATAGGACTTGGGCAGGAAATACTACAAGGTGAGCCTGTAGCATCTGATAGTGCCGCAAAGTAAAGAAATGCTACACACATGCACACACCACACACTACACACTCTACACATACCTACTGCACACACACACCACACTCACTGCACAACACACACACTCTACACATACTACACACACACCACACACACACTGCACAACACACACTCCACACACACTCCACACACCACATACCATACACCCACTACACACACACTACACACACACACCACACACACCACACACACCACATGCACTACACACACACCACATGCACTACACACATCACACACATACCACACACATCATACACCACATGCTCTACATACACACCACATACACACACTACACACACACACACCACACACACTACACACACACAACATACATACACTACACACACACACGCCACATGCACGCCAAATGCACATGCCACATGCACACCACATACATACACTACACACACACACCACACACACTCACCACACACACACCACATACATACACTCCACACACACACACGCCACACATACGCCACACACATACCACATACATACACTCCACACACACGCCACACACACGCCACACACACCACACACACACGCCACACACACACACCACACACACACCACACACACACACACAAAATGGTGGGGGTAGGAGTTAACTGAATGAGCACTCAATGGCCAAAGCTGGAAAAATTTAAGTGACAAAATAAATAAAGTAATATCAGATTGTAACAAAAAGTATGAAATAAATATCTATGAGTCCATACAGATAAAAATAACTGAACAAACAGGTAGAAAAGCTAAATCTCCCATGCAGAATTCCAAATTCCATATGTAGGTAACTCAGTGTTCGAGGAGGGAAACTATAACTCTCCCTTTTGAAAGTATGAGTTGCACAAAGTGACTTCCTTTCCAAGAGTATTTTATGGAAAGCAGGGGGCAGGGGGGGAATAACTTTACATTGGAGAAAACTGATGACCTTAGCCAGGTGATGAAAGTCAACTCCAACACTCAAATCACATTGGTAGTAGGTACCTTGGATATGATGTGTCACAAATGGCACTTTACCTCTGTTGTCTTCCTCCCCAAAACCCATAGCTGCAGTCTAATCATGAGATAAACATCAGACAAATCCCAAGGAAGAAGATTCTACAAAACATCTGACTAGTTCTCCTCAAAAGGTCATCAGAACAAGGAAAGTCTGAGACATTGTCACAAACAAGAAGAACCTAAAAAGACATAACAACTCAGTGTAGTGTGGTATCCTTGTTAGAGTACTGGAACAGAAAAAGAACATTATGCAAAAACTAAGGAAATCTAAATAAAGAATGGACTTTGCCAATAACAATGTATTGATATTGGTTAATTGTAACAAATATACTAATGTAAGATGTCAACAATAGAGGAAAGTGTGTAGGGGGTTGATATCCTTTGAATATTTGTCTCCTCCAAATCCCATGTTGAAATTTGTCTGCAGTGGTGGACTTGGGGTATGGTGGGAGGTGTTTGGATCATGGGGGTGGATTCCTCATGAATGGTTCTGTGCTGTCCCCATGGTAAGTGAGTTCTCACTCTATTAGTTCATTAGAGAACGGATTGTTAAAGCAAGAGCCTGGCACCTTTCTCCCCTCTCCCTCTTGCCATGTGATGTCTGCGCCCCTCCCCTTTCTGCTGTGATTGGAAGCTTCCTGAAGTCCTCACCAGAACCAGGTGCTGCCATGCCTCTTGTACAAGCCCACAAAACCATGAACCAAATATTAATAAACCTCTTTTCTATATAAATTACCCAGCCTCAGCTAGTCATTTCTTCTCCATCCCT